CTAGTAGAAACAAAGCTATCTAGTGATAATGACATAAGGCAATTAACTGGTAATCTGGAAAGCTAAATGGAGATTCCAAGCCATTGGCAATGAAAACACACTACAGAAATTTTCCAAGAAATGCTGCTTCCATTGAAGTCAATGATTAATTCCACAACTGGCTATATTTTGAGATGGCTTGGCTTCTTTCCTGGACAGAATCACTTCAACTTTTTGTAAAATAATTACAAAAATAATAAAATCCACTGGTCTTTAGCAACTGCTGCATTTTCTCCTGTGATAAAATATTAAGCGGAGACCTGCTTAGAAAATTAAACAGTGTTCCTTTCCCCATTTCCCCAAAACCAAGCAAAACTATGCCTCATCCAAGCAAATATTAAAAGAGGGTTTGGCATGTTTATACTCTCTCTTTTAATGCATGACCTCTCTCCATTTTTTCTTTTTTTTTTCAAAATAGCAGGGGTAATATGGTTATTGCAATGTTTCTAGTGCAGCCTAAGGCATAAGTCTGAAATCTTACAGAAAAGCTTTCCATTGTAAAATGCTAAACTGTTTTCAACCTTAAGTACTTTGGACAAAGAAAGATTATCCACTGCAAACACATCAAATACTCACGCTTTCTTCATATACTTTATGAAAAGACATCTTTCATAACAAAAACAAATGCTAACTCATACTGTCAAAAGTTTCCTCTACACTGATGTGAGGAAAAAAAGAGCCAAATTAGCACTTTTTTCTAATTCTGTGTGCCTGATACTCTCTAGAACAAGAGTCAGCAGCCTGCAGCACATACAGAGATGGAGCATTTAGCATACAGCATATCATAAAGGTTGAATGGGGTCAGGAACCAGGAGCAGATGGAATCTCAGAAAGGTCTTAAGGCCTTAAGCTTCAAGGTCCTAAGCCCTACTCTTCAGCAGCTGCCCCAGTGATCAGCTAATGAGTACCATCTTGCTCTTTTGAAGGCATGTTCATACCCAAGCACAGGTTGCATCCCTTGGCTTTGGCACAGTCATCTGCCAAGCAGTGCCAAGCTCAGCACATTGCAGCCACTGAACTGTGGCATTTTCCCTGGTTTTGCTCTCCTGCTCTGCAGAGTCAACAACTGAGACATCTCTTCCTTTAACTGTTCTTGAACTGTAAATTGCCTTGCATTCCCTTCAACTTCTACAACTGAACCAGCTTGCTCTACCAAGTACTGATCACATCAGCACTTCAAGGCCTCTGCTAGTCCAAGTGCATTCAATATGTAATTCAGATGTAATCTCAAGAGCAATACTTTCCAAACATTTCTGAAATAATACTGGGCCAGCTGACATTTAGGCTGACCAAATCCTCCACCAAGAGGCTGGCCTCAGCCTAAGACATGCAAATGATACTCTACAGTAATACCTGCATACTGTCAGTCATTCCTCTCGTAGAATCAGTGCTACCTAACTAATTAACTAAATAAAAGGAGCTACACAATACCTTGAAGAGATGATTCAAACAATGGACTAGCTTAATAAGCATACAGACCCAACAAGTAAACTGGCAATGTATTTTAAAACAATAAGATGGTCTGCAGCAGCCAAGCAATGATTTAAAGAATCAGTTACAGTTATATGGTAAATCAGTGCAAGTAACAGCTCAAAGGTTTTAATTTCACTTCTAACTATTTTTATCTGAGGAACAGTAACATCATCATTATAAAGAACTGTTGTCCCAGGTACACTTTACACTGGGAGCTGTGGCTCTCCAAAGGGATAGCAGCAACAACTTGTCAGCACTGGGTTACACCTTTCAAGGGCAGTTATGGCTTTAAGTGAAATTACTCTGAACAGTGCAATCAGGCAGGCTATTCCATGGCCTCAAAATATAAAACTTGCCTTTTGAAAGAGCCCTCAACATTTTCATAAACGTGACAAGAAATTACTGTATACATCAAATGCTGAGCTATGCAGGTACATTATTCTGGCATTTATCCTGCATTCCTCTGTAAAAAGCCCTACAACTATACATATTTAAACAGCTACCTCTTTTTTTTCCTGTAAGGTACTGAAACCAGAACTAGCAAAAAGAGAGGTTAGTCCAGGATAATGATGGAACATCAAGGACTAATTAAAAACGACTCAATTTTCAGGTCAGAAACATTTACGTTATTTGTATAAAAAAGATCAAATAGGAGTACAGTCAAGTATTGCCAATATTTCTGCCAGTCTTTTTAGGATAATGCTGTACCTGGGGCCACATAATTCTGTTAGCTCTTTTTCTGAGAAGCTGCAAGAATTAATGCTAGCTCTGTATTTTTAAATACTTGGGAGATATTCAAATACAACAACGAGATTGAGTTGGACAGAAGAGAGGTATTTTCTTTGCACACAGTAAAATATTGGTAATTGGCAATTAAAAAAAGACAACTCCTGTATGATTTGAAGTTTAATCAAAATGTTACAGTGAAAATGAAAACAGAGGGAACATTTACTGGTGTATATAAAGGTAATCGGTCTCTACAATGTAATGCTGGTAAACAAAATGTCACTGTTTTGAAAAACCCAGCAGTAAAGAAAGTAATTGCTCTTTGATATCGGCCTCCACTTTGTTGTGGATGGTGCTGATTCTGTTCAAGCAAATAATTTATGTCCAGCATTGTACCATCCTATAACTATAAACTATCAAAACCATTAAAACATTAACATTTTCCAGCAATAAATATAGAGAGCAAATGAACACTTAGATTGTTCTGTGCACTGTTGTAAGTACCCTAAAACTCTAAACCTAGCAGTTCTAGGTATATTCACAATTAAGACAGCAACACTCTGTGATCCAAAAATATCAGGTGAGAAAAATCAAATGACAAATAAGAAAATTATTTAGTGACAGAGTAAGTGAAGTTTTCTTTTCCACTTACCACTCCTGGTTCAAAACCAATCATTTCACTAAGTTTCAATTAATGAATAAACTTAAAAGTAATGAATTTTTTATTTTCATTATTTATATCTGCTACCTCTTTTCCAGCACAACTGTTAGCTCAGGACAGCATACTTCAGACAGGTAAACTTTCAGCTTGCCTAATATTAGTAACATCAACCACACTGTGAATCTCTCACAATTTGCTGCCCTAAATGTTACTTTCATCCTTTTAAGCTTGAACTGTGGCAGCTGAAAAGCAAATTCAGGTCAGCTGGTGTAGTGGCTGCTACATCATGGCAAGTTCCAGCTGAGGTGAACTGCTGAATGCTTCTTAAATGGTGTCAACTGGAGTTGTCAGGAGATCATAAGCCAGAGCCCCAAGCAATCTGATTAGAATCAGAGAGTAACTGGATTAGTGGAACTACTGAATTAGTGTTTGATGAGCTGCACAATTCATATGTATCTTCACAGCACTAGGAGCTCTCAGACCTGCAACATGAATTAGCATCCAAGCCTTCCTGTGCCAGGCGACTCACACCTCATTGCATACAGACAAGGGATTTGTGCAAAGGTTTGCATTGAAACTGGTGAAAAAAAAATCAAAACTACCTTGATCTAGCAATTCAGTAAAGACACTTGCCAACTCTATTGGTATGTTTTGTCATGATTTTCTTTTCTTTCGTTTTAGCCAACTTTAACAGGTGAAATTGGGAGAGGCAAGGTGCAACCAGTCAGACAGCTGGTGGTACCTTGTCTCTGTGAGAGGTGAAAGAATTACACAGCAAATGCTGAGTTCAGTGAGAGAAAGGGGCCCTGCCTTTCCTAGTGGCAGGAACTGCCCAGCCAGCAGCACCTTGACTCTCTGGGAGTGCATTTGCCAACTCTGTCGTCACACATCAGTTTGTGAAAAATATCATGCACTGAAGGAAGGCAAAATGTTCTCCTCAAGCAGCTGCACAAAGCAGGCCCACCAAGATAAGCCATGTTCACTACTTTTCAACCACCAGTATTGGCAGAATACTTCTGTCAGGGCAGTCCAAACACAAAACTCCTCTCCTATGCTCTGCAAATTAGGGGGTACCTATTCAGGTTTTAGTCATAGCCCAGACAAATCTGAAGATTCCTTCCAGTCGTGGCTGGCTAGACTTCCTGTCTAGAATTATTGGGAACTAAATAAAGAAACACAACTTTTGACTTTCATGGCACAGATAAAATAAACATTTTTAAATGAACATTTTTTTTAAGAGCTGAAAGGGTTTCTTCTGCTGTTCCTTTTTTAAATAAAAATGTCCTTTTCTACATTTCAGTTAAAAAACTTAGGGTCCAAACTCACAAGCTTTTTTTGTAGATTTTCATATTTGCAATTATCAAAATGCAACTTGAAACAAGCCAACTACAGTGAAACCAACTCAGTCAGAAACAGGATTGCAGTTAGAACTTTATCTGCCTCCATCCCTATAGCTATTCCAACACAGAAGGATGGAGTAAGTTATGTCACTATTTATAGTAAAAGGAAATTATAAATATGAATGCTTAGTAAATAGTAGGCAACAGAGAAAATACAGTAACTTGGAGTTATGTCTTCACTAATATCTAGTCATTCACAGGTGGCATGTTACATCTGTGTGCTGTATTTTATTTGACATGTTCACAGTCCTTTTTAAGTCAGTCACAAACCCAAACACAGTTAGCAGGGTATTTAATAAAATCAGATTTATAAAACTATTACTGTATGAAACAGCATTTCACCTATTAAATTTTTCTAATACAAAACCAGCTACCCAAATCAGTAGAGAAAAACCCCAACAAATAATGAAACTATTAGCAAATAATTGAGATGTCATCAAAGCTATAAATACATCAAACATTTCTGATGATGTCATAATGCACACTACATGTTTTTCCCTCTTCGTTTCCTTCACAAAACCTCTCCTGATATCTGCGGCTCCTAATCATCTGTTCTAGAAATACAGCTTAGTTGACTAAGGCTGAAATGTGCTAAGATGCAGCAACGTTTCAAATTCACACATGAAACAATTCGGAAGCTTCCCCCAGGCATTGGCGGCTGCGGCTCCCGCTGCTCCGCTACCCACAATCCCCCCATTTACCTGCTCGCTGGGCTGCCTCAGCCCTGGTCAGGAAGTGGTAAAGCTGATCCAGCTTATCAGGCTGCTCCTCCAGGGACTTCTCGTGCCATATGGCTGACCCAGGCCCTGCAGCCTCCCTCAAGGCATTCCACTTCTGTATCAGAGTGAAGAGCTCGGAGAAGGACTTGTGATAACCCCGTCGCAGCATGTCTATGCAGATGTTCTTCGTGTACGAGTTCCTGTTACTGGGAATAAGAAAGAGAGATTGTAAGCCTTTAAACCTGTATTCTGTTCTCCACCTCGCCAAATAAGTACAGATAACTAAAACAGCTTTCAAGAAGAGACCTCTGCAGTTCAGCAGCAGGGAATGGGTATGTATTTCCCCCGCTCAAAAAGTGATCTGTTATAATACGATACCATACCCCAGGGAAGTAAATATGGCAATAATGAATAAATGCCTGTATATATATTTGTGAAAACATGTTAAAAAATTACACTGGTATTCTTCAGCTGGTATTTGGTAAAAAAGGCTGTCTGATGGGAAAAAAAAAACCACCCATGTTTACATTAGTTCATGAAAACACAATGAACTCTTAGTTTGCTTTAAGACAGTGCACAGGGAAAAATGAGGCACATTCCACATGTCAAAACAACGTACATGTTAAATAGTTTTGCTGTAGGACATGATGGCTTGGTTTAAAACGTCAAACAAATGCTACGCCAGAAACATAATCATCAGATGTTATTTTGCTTCTGTTTAGCATATAACTTCAGCTGGGACTGGTTTACTGATGCAAAAGTTTGATAATTTCTCCCTAATTTTACACTCAAATGATGCTGTGATGAATTTATATCAAAGTTTAGCTCATTCATAAAGACTGATAAGACATCCATATTAAAAAGTCATGTAATCAAATATTCTCAAGAGGTAATATATCTTTTGAGGTATTATTTATGGAAATAATAAAAATATTTCTTTTACAGGGCATGAAACAATCATTGTGTCCTATTCTGGAGAAAACTACGAGTCCAATGGGACTGCCTGCAACACTAAGGTACAGATGTAAAGGTTTGCAGGCAGAGGTACCTAGTGTGGGAAAACAAACCTTTGTCCCAGTAAAATGGCAAGGACCCAGATGTGTTATTTCTATTTTGTATATTCCATTAAGTTTCCAAACTGTTTTCAAGACTGTCTTTTTAGACTGAAATCTATTTAAATTCAAATTCTCAGCAGCTTTAAAATAAATATGGAATTCTGAAAACTGAGATTTATAGTGTATGTCATAAATTCAGATGATTTCATACTAAATAATAGCCTAATGAGACTAATACTTCAAGCCTGAAAAGAGCCTCTGCAGTTCTTCAACAATGCTGATAAGATGGAAGTGATGTGAAAAACTTTTTAGCTAGATGGCAATGAAATAAACAGCAACATAAGATGTAAGAAACAAATAATCTGCATTATTTCATATTTCACACAATCAAAATAAAATCTCTTACTACACAGATGCACACTAATCCTTCACAATGTATTTTTTACATTTCAGTTGCAGAACTGAACATAAAAATATTAAATAATTCTGATACGATATAGACCAGATAATACTGAATTTATGTTTAATATATAAAGAGATGGTTTTTGCGACTGAAAAGCACATATAGCTCAAACAGTCAAGGGAAAAGATGAAACTGTTCTGCACCAGAAAACATTTGCAACATTTACCTTAGAAAAGTAAATGAGAAATATCTTTAAACATTTAAATTTTAATTTGCCAGAATACGCTATATTTGACATACAGCAAATGCACAGTATATAGCTTAAAAATACTGTGAAGATATTATGCTAATACCGTGCAATGTATTCTCTATTCTGTACATGGAATACTTTCTTTTTTTTTTTTCTGTTTTAAAATTCTACCTAACTTACAAAAGATCGAAGAATATAAGTAAAAATTCCTACCAACTTCCAAAGGCCTAGGACTGGATCCTACATTAATATAAGTCCGAGCAGTGGAATAACAATCTGCATAGCAGGCACACATACATGCATATTTATTTATACAGTGGGATCTATATATGTATGTGTGCATGCATTAGATCATTAGATATATTGGAAGTAAACAAAAAAGCAATGCTAAAAGATCTTAACAGAGACTAACCACAATATCATTCAGTTAATTTTTATGACTCACTGCATACTCACTGAGCACAGCGTTGAGATTCGTATAAACAGAAAAACTGTGCCCATGTAACATGTTATTTTCTGTAGACTGATGCATTTTACTTGAATTCAAAGCACATTTTCCCCACTAGAAAGCATTATTAACAAACCAATAAAGGGAAACAAAGCATATAGTAAAACACATCAGTTTTAAAAATCAGTGTCAATAGTCTTTTAATAAATCCCATCCCAATTAATGAAGACATTGAAATAATGCTGAAGTAATCATACTGTACAGAGCACATATTTTTCTGAGGCAAAAAGAACTGATTTTAGCACACAAGCAATGAAGCTATCTACTGTTTAACCCTTCAAATTTAGTAGCATAAAAATAAAAGTAATCTCTCAGCTATGAACAGAAAACATTACTACAGTTATTTCCTTAAGTTTCTGTAATACATAAGACACAAGTGACTGATCACACACAAACAATAAAACAGGGCAAGAGATTAATGATATCATGGGGATGAATGGTATTTGTGCCACCTAAGAGAGCTCGACATGGCAATGACTTCTGAAATCATTACAAAGTGCTTCCAGATGAAAATTCCAGTGCCCTTTTTTCCCCCAACAAACAGTTCTTTTGAACAGAGGGGTGATGTAGGTGACAGCAGTAAACTTTTCATGATACCTTGTGATAAACTATAAATCCTCGAAATCCTTTCCATCCTGCTTCCTATGATGTCATGCAGCGTGTGAAATCCAGAGTTAAACAGTGCACCTCATGTTTTGGATAACCAAAGATTACTTGATTTGTGATATCAACATCAAAAACTGATTACTAAGGTCCCTTCCAACTCAAGATATTCTATGATCTATGATTTATTTTATCAAATCCAACTGTTAACAGTATGTTTCTACTACCGTAATAAGATCGTTTATACTAAGCATTTTGAACCTTACAACCTAATAAATTATGATTTAGTATTAAACAAGCGAGTTTGTTTTTCCGCATTGCTTCCGCGCCGACTTCAGCTTTCCTTTGGACAATTATGTTACTTCCAGGAGCGAAATGGGAAAAGACTGCCCTTTCCTCTGGTTGGAGCGGAGCCGTTCCAGGGGTTTAATGGTCTCTGGGGGCATCTACTGGAAATGCGGGAAACTGCAGGCAGGACGTGCGGAGCTCGGCGCCGGCAGCGCGGCAGAACAAAGGGCCCCCCGGCCGTGCCCCCGCACAGGGCACCGCGACACGGCCACGCTCGTCCTGCCCGCACAGCCGCCGGCGAGCGAGCAAAGGAGTCGGACCAGGACGAGCAGACGGCTTTGCGATGTTAAGCGTGTTTGATTTTAAAACCGAACCGTGATGTGAATGTAAACGCGAAGTCCTCTTCCCCTTTCGCGTGATCGCGTGGGCACGCCAGGAGAAAGAGATTTCGGATGGATTTTTTTTTAAAGCAAACTAATTTCTTAACGAATTCGGGAGCATATCTCTGTATTTATGGTTGAAACAAAGCTACCGATTAATCTGGGTTTAATTCAAACCAGAGCTGGTTTTTTTTTTTTGTTTGTTTGTTTGGTTTGGTTTGGTTTGGGTTTTTTGAATCCATGAAATTCAACAGATGAGAACCACAACGCTTATCATAGACCCAGCCGAGACTGAGAATCTTCTGCCTGGACAGTCAGCTCTGTCACTGCTGAAACCCTGTGATGTTGCTACATGTTTATTTACACAGGCCGGGGAACACAATGAAATGAGGTCCAAGTGGATCTGGTGACGTGTCACGCACTTGTCCTACGTCAGCAGTTTTTGTGATGTGATATTCTGCCATAAGGTGCTGAAAAATTCGGTGAGCTTCTGTCTCTGTGTCATGGGCGGGTTGCGTGTCACAAGAATTTTTAGCACCAAATGAACAACCACCAAAAGTTAAAGTTGCCATTTTAGTGGCACCATGGTATAGGTGATGGTTTTCAAGTGGTGTAATATCACACGGGTGGAAGGAGCTACTTACCGAACGCGGACCTGGGAGCTGCTGTTGTTAACACTCTACTTTAAGAGTACCTGGATATTGCTACAGGCATTTTAATTTTTTCCTTAAACTACAGAGCTACTCTTATGTAATTTTCTTATATGGATTTCTTTTTATTATTATCATTGCTATTATAAAGTGATCTAGAGTCATGCTGAGGAATCACAGGAACCTGACTCTAATTTACTTTTACCAGTGCAAAATAAATAGTAACCCTCAAGTGAGGCTCATGAAATTACACTGTTCCAGTCCCAAGGACCTTCCTATGTTAAGGTATTATACTTTTATGAGACTCTTATGCAATGCTGGGAGATCAGGACAGCACCATACAACATTCCCTTTACCTTAAAATCCTGCACAGTAAGGCTATTTGCATTCTACCCTTTACATTGAAAGAGGGAAAAGAAAAAAAAAAAAGAAATTAGGAGGCCAAGAGGCAGGTACTGGTGCTAGAAATAATCAAAATAGTCAGTATAGCATAACAGAATCATTTATCATGAGCTTCATTCTCCATGCCTCCTGTCTGGTGTAGCCAATTACAGGCATGCAAAATAAGTCCAAAAATCTACTATTTTCAGATGGTAGATTTATAGATATATATTTAATATCAGGTTTCAGATATTAAGATTTCGTAGGATTTAATTAGTACTTCTGGTTAATTCCAGCTGCTGATTACAATACAACTGTACTGTAGCAATCCCATTTTGTAAAGCACAAAATGGCATGTATTAAACAACGGTAGTATATAAAATATTAAAGTGTACTTTCAGTGTAAAATAATTACTCTACCAATTATTATAATATTTTAAAACTGTATTCAAATAGGTTTCATCCACTTGGGATTTCCTTCTGCAGTTGGCAAGTCAATGACTTGATATAAATGCCTTAGATAAGCATCACAAAATTATGAAAAAATCATCAAGATATTTTTGCTTAAGTTCTTTTAAACAAATTTATTTTACTTTACCCACATTTCCTGTCTATAAATCTACAAGTAAATTAAAATTACATATAAAGTATGTGAACACTTTGCTACTTTTTGCTTAACCTATATGCA